CTGATGCTTACAGGAAACATCATCAAAGCTGAAAAATAAATTGCATTTCTATTTTGTCCCCCTTTTAATCAATAATTGAGGCCTTTTGATCTAAGGAGAGGATTGATATCAGGTCTTTGATATGAAATGATATCTCATTGGATGGATATAAATTGTAAAGCGTGTGTTTGCCCAGGTTTATATTCCAAACAGGTTTGGAAGCTGTTTTTTTTTGTTTCGTTTTAATACAACAAAGCAGGAGCCAAAATGTAGTGTGGTCATAGCCTAGCACTTTTGTAGAGCTAGCCATTCTTAAATATTTTACTTTCAGCTGAAAACTTATTTGCAGATGTTAAGACCTGTTATCTCTTACTTAATATCAGTGCAGTTGTATGAAATGATCCGGTTGATGAGCTCAGGAAGAAATGGGTCAGATTTGCGGGCGAATGTAAGGCTATTTGGGACTGACATGCAGAAGAGAGATGGAGGATTATAAAGCAGGGTGTGACCTGCTTTAATTGAGGCCCTTTTCTGTCCTCCTGTTTGGTTGCTTTTCTTGCTATGTTCTTTTCCTGTTCCTGGGCGTGTTACAGTCCAGACTTAGTGGCTGTAGTTGGAGGTGATGCATAAGTAATATGGGTTGGAACAAAATGATATATTTCATGCTGGGAGGACTCAAAGTTGTAATTCATACCAATTTGGATTTTCTTAGATTTGTCTTAAGTGGCAGGCTTTTTTCGAGACATGAAGTCCTTCTTTATGCTCAGTACTCTGCTTTGCCGTTCAGTTGTTTGTACGTATTGCGTCGCAGTCATTCCTTGCAAAAACACACTCTGTCTTTAGCTCAATGTGTCCTTGGTCATCCCTTTGATGCCCTTGGTGCATCCAATCGAACTGCCTCATTTGGTGGCTCCGTAACTGCAAACTTCTATTTTCTAAGCTGTGGCAGAGTCAGCTGAAATCTGCGATACGGTTTTAAAAGGAACTGCTTCAGTAGTTATACAACACATCCCTGGTTTCTTTTAAGTTTGCCACAGTACTGGAATGCTTTCACATTTTAAAGCTTTTCAGTACCTATAAACAGCGACTACATCTTGGCGGTGGGGAATGAGGGGGAAATCTTTAGTTTAGTACTTGATTACTTTTAAAAGTGCTCAGCCTGTATGCTAGGTGTTTCTAAAGCTCAATCTTTAAAAGTCTGAGAGGAAAAAACCCTGATCCAAGGCTTCATGGAATTGTCAGCTATTTCAGTATTTGCCTGGATACTGTCTTCAAAAGAAGTGCAAGGTCTGATTGAGACTTACCTTCCTTTTTTTTTTTTTTAATCAAGCCTTTCATTTATGCTTATCTTGAAACTGATTTTTTTGCATATTGTTTTTTCATTTTTCCTTCTATCTTAATTCCTGGATGCCTATATATAACTGTCTTAACACCTTCGATTTCAGGGAGGAGCAAAAGACCGCTTTGTGCTCTAGCTCTCGATGCAATCAACAGGATTCAAACTTCTGAGCAAGGTGTCATGCGAGTATCCTGGTTTCCTTTGTTTTTTGCTGCCGTACAACTATCAAACAGCAGTATAAACTAACTGGTAGGATGTTTAATAAATGTTGCACTTGAACCATTCCCAGGGGAAGGATGATTTCTTGGGATCCTAGTGTGAGGTGGTACCAGCTACAGCAGCCACCAAGGGTGACAAGCAGTGCCAAGAAGCCATAGCAGGCTTTTGGTTCACACCAGCTTCTTTTTCCAGCCCTGTCTGGGGAGAGGGACATCTCTCTGATGGATACTGCCTGCTCAGTGCTTGCTCTAGGCTTGGACATTGCCAGGTGGGAGCAAGCTACCCCAGGAGACCTTGCAGATACGCAGGCGGTGGAGCAGGCAAGGCTAGCTCCTCACCTCTCTCCTGCAAGGCGGTAAATGTTACAGCCATTTGGGTGGGAGAGGAGGGACACAACTACTTAAGAGGACTTCTGAATCATCTCAGCGTTGTCCCTGGAGCTAAAGGGAAGTGGGATGAGGTAACTGTGAAGGTCATATCAATTTTGTAGCCTTCTAGTGGCTTTAGACTCTTAAGACTTTGAGGTATGTTTTTAGGGAAGTTGCAGAGTTTGGTTGCTGTTTGGTTTTTTTTTTTTCCTAGTTCCTAGAATATGTGGGATAGAGGTAATGCAGACACTACCCTCAGACAGACATGGCCCCCACACACCAGGTTTGAGTGCTCTTGACTTAATGTATTAGTAATTATCCTGAGCATTGTGGATCGAAATGGCAACTCGTGATCCTTCCTGCACAGTTGTCTGTGTTGGTAAATCCTGAGGATTAACAATTGGATATAAACAGGCACACTGAGGAGTGAACAGTCTTGCTAGGGTCAAATTAGGTCTGCTTTGTGTATAATGCCATGTTTTTTATAATTTTCTGTTAATTCCCATCTGTGAGCTCATCTTTTAGAACTAACAAAAGTTACTGCAAATACAGAGCCTGAGCGATTTAGTGTTCTCAGTATGAGGTTGTGCAGCATTAAATGTGAAGTGCTAATGTGTTGTACATACCTATATAACCCTGCTCTAAAACTATTTGGGAGCCTCTTTTTTTATTTTATACTTTTCTGCCCCAATTTTTATGATTAAGTGGTATTCTTACCTGGTTGCATGTGGCAACCCTTACCATCAGTCTCTTCTAGAAACACTACATCTAAAAGATAGCATGTTCAATGACAAAAGATTAAAGCTGAGTATTAGAGTTCCAGCTTGGAAAGGTTTGTCTCTTAATTTAGGTCAGTACTTCAGTGCACTGTGCTGTAAACAACACAACGGTTGCTCCCATCTTCACTGTGTAATAAGTGGATGTTGTAAGCAGATCCTACCTGACTGCCTGCCATGCAGCTCTGGCCCACACAAAGCAATACCGGAGAGGGAGCAGCATTAAATTCCCTGCCACCCGTGAGCGAGCAGCTGCGATCCTGGCTGGCAGGCGGGATGCTCCCGTCCAAGAGCAGAACTGTGGAGTGAGCAGCAGCCTTGATTCAAGCTAAAATCCTCAAGCGCTGGGTGTCCCTCTCCATCTGCCTGCCTGCCCTCCACGGGATTCACTGGCTTCCGTCAGTCAGTAACTGGAATTTTGTTGCCACCTTCGCAGTTTCCACATCCTCTCTCCTAATTCCTCTGCTTACAAGTGTTGTGTTTTTGTTTTTTGTTTTTTGTTTTTTTTTTTTTTTTTATGTGACAAGGAAATGGTTGGGGGATCTGAACATTTTCCTAAAGATTACAGGCAGTTTTGAGTTTTCTTTCAGCAGGCTTTTTCCACTCTCTGAATATTTGTAGAAGGTCTTTACGAATTTATCAGAAACCATTGTCTTAGAGAGCTGGGCAAAACCGGAGATCAGAAACTCTGCGTGCTCTTGGCGCTACATCTGGTGCGGTCCCAGGGCCCGCAATATTATTCACAAAAGTTTATACTGCTACAAGTGGGACAAATACTTAAACTCTGTGTGACAAGACATGCTGAATATGGAATGTTTTTGTAGAAGTTTTTAAAGGAATAAAGGCATCTTCTCTCGTAGGGATGGAGGGGATCTCTGCACTCGAAAGAGCCCTGAAAAGGCTTTGGAGGGGTCAGGGCTGTGCATGTGCATGGTTCTATTCCGGGAGAATCCCCAAGAGGGGAGCTCCTAAAACTGTGAAGATGATGAGGCTAAATTTCACTTTGCAGTAGCATCAAAAATAGTTATTCCAGAGTATTCACACAAAATTACACAAATAATGCTTGTGGTAATGTCTGTTTGGTTTGGGTTTTTTTAAATGATTTAGAAGGGCATTTATACTTCTCTCTTGCCTTGTTTGATTTGGACTTTTTTTTTTTGGCCTTTGAACTGTTGTTTGTAAGGGTGTATACCCCTTTTACCCTCTAAAGACGAGGACAGGCAAGGATTTGTGTCTTTTTCTGCAAAAACAGCTTTTCCAGCTGTATGAAGACGACTGAATTGTGTAGCCTATTGATAAGGTTTCTATTGCTTGAAATGCTTTGTGGAGTAGTTGCTTTCTGGAGACATTTAACTGATTTTTGTGTTGCTGGAAGTCATGTGACTAGCAGCCATTTGATACTGAAGTTGAGAATAGGTCTCAGAAAAGCATTGACATACACTTTTAGCTAGCAGCTAAACTTTGATAGCAGTTGAATATTAATAGCATACAGTGACGTGGTGTTCAGAGGCAGTATTCATCAATATTTTCTGTAAGGTAACTAATTCTTAAAACGCTTGTTTTCTAGTTGTGGCAGGAAAGACATGAACAAGAATAACATCTAGCTGTATGGTTTGTGTATATACAGAATAATAACCAAAGATCAAGGATCCTTCTACAGCTGTGAAGAGGAAGCTGAGTAAAATATCCTTGCTTCCCTGTGAATGGCGTTTGGGGGGGACCTTGTATTCAGATTGAGACTAAGGGCATAGCAAGTCAACTTGTGTTTTAAGAAACCTTTTAATAAAATGTGTTACGGAAATGTAAATTATGTTTCTACTTCACTGCCTAAGTAGTAATCTCTGGTGTCCGTGTCCCTCCCCCCCCCCCCCACCATTTAAT